TGTCTTCAAAACAGAGAATAATGCCCAATACCTAGATTTGATACTTGTTTACAATGATGATCTCTTCATGTCTTATGGAGCTTCAAGATACAGTAAATGGTAACCGTTATTTAAGTCATAAGCCAAACCGAGGCGAAGGCTCCATTGAAGCAAGGCTAACATTGCAAATAACAAGCAACTGTTTTATTATGGACAAATATTTCAATCAAGGTTTAAAAATTACAAGTTACAAGTTACAACTTAGCATCCAATTCTTTGTTTTGTGTCTTCAAAACAAGGAATAATGCCCAATACCTAGGTTCGATACTTGTTTACAATGATTATCTCTTCATTTCTTATAGAGCTTCAAGATAGAATAAATGGTAACCGTTATTTAAGTCATAAACTAAACAGAGGCGAAGGCTCCATGAAGTGAGGTGAACATTGCAAACAATAGGCAACTGTTTTATTATGGACAAATCTTTCAATCAAGGTTTAAAAATTACAAGTTACAACTTAGCATCCAAATAATATAAGGCATCCAAGTTTCTACTTGTTTTATACTAAATATTCAAATTTCACAAAAGCATAAACATTGAAAGTCCATCAAACACCAATAATACCTTAAGTTCTTATAATATGAAAACATGTAAATCAAACTATCTAAATAACTGTAAATTCAATTGATGCTTCCACCTATCATAAGGACCTAAAAAACATCCTCATCACTAAGCATCATATTTCTTATCATTTTTGGATTTAAATCCCTTTGTATCTAAATATTCCTTTGCCTCACTGAAACCATCTCTTCCTCATAAGTGTAGTCTTCGATTTGGGAACCTTTCGAAGGTCGACTTCCATATATGCAAGAAGGTGCCAGAAGCACCCGTGCGGAACCAGATAAGCCAAGATGCTAGACTTCATCCCATTTTTGCGACAGCTATATGTTTTGATAGTGGCTTGAGAAAGCTACACCCATATTGCTAGATGCGCTTCTTGACGTGGAAAAAAAAGATGGGAGATTGGGGTTCTTGATTAGAGGATAGTGGAGTCATCAACAGATTGGAGATGATCTAGTTGCTTTGGGATCCATTGGCTTTTTGACTTTGCTTCAAGTATTACTAGTAGATTTTGTCGTCTATGCTTGTTAGCATGTATAGAGATTGTGGTGTTTCTACCTTTAAGGGGAAAACTTGATAAAAAAATTTCCTCATTAGAGGTACCATGTGGAAATTCTTGAGTAGAAAGTTAAAGAAGTGGGCTTTAGGGACTATGGGTGAGGCTGGGACTTGCTGAATGCATGAGCTGATAAATGTTTCAATCTAGTATATGTCTCAGATTAATGGAACATAAATTCATGAGAGGATCAACATATGGTTGCTACGCTTGGTCCGTATGCCTAGCAAAGAGATTACATTTGATCCTCATGGTGTGGTGGGCCCATGAGTTTTACTCTTTCTTTCATTTGGGTGAAAATAGGTGATTTTGCATGTTTCAGTTTTTGTTGGCCTATGAATCATTTGTTTCATGTTTGGGTATATACTCTATTTACTATTTATGGTATTTTAGGGTCTTATTTATTTTGGTATGCCTTGTCTTTCAACATGGAAGATATGTTTTATTGTAGACTAGGTGTGTGGATAGAGCAACTCTTTGGGTATTGCTCTAAGTACCTCCTTTTTTTGGGGGGAATCAAAATTTTTTACTTTTTTCTGTAAATAAAAATTTTGTTTCCAATAAAACTGCAGATGTACAATATAGTTTAAGACATATCTGAAGGCTCCCTATGTATACTCATAAGGGAGCTACTCAAATTAAGTAGAATTATCTATTCTAAGAGATTACGACCTATGATTCTAGGTAACTACATCTTCCACATCTTAAGTGATGAGAAATAACATTTGCCTTCTCATAAGAAGTGATAAAGATTTAGCTCAAGGAGACTATCCTCACAACCCGAGGGGATTCTGCATAACTCTACACCGTCCTAAGGAGGCTTCTCTTCATACACTTTTGTTGGGCCATTCTTCACATTAGGTAGAAAACTTGAAAAACCTTGTATGTAAAAGCTAGTCATACGTACCTTTGCTTGTGAATTTTTACTTTTTAGAATTCTTTCATGGAGTTTACTTCTTTTCTCTTCTCTTGATAATACCCTATTGTCACTAGGAGTCTAGGAGAGTTCAAATATGTTGATGTTTTCTCCTATTGTTTCATTTCCTCCTTTCTTCTATTCTTCTTGTTCACCCCACAAAAAATTTAGGTAGCATAGAGGAACATGCCTAGAATGAGCTCCATACATTGTCTTGCTTTCAGGAAAAAATTGAGTACGCTACTTTCTGGAAAAAAGGGAAAGTTGAGTACGCTAGATAGAATTCAATATTTCTAGCTCATTTTGCATATGTTTGCATATCATGCGAAGCAGGTTCTGTATCACACTGCCTTCTCTATTTTGTGTGTCAGGGTATAGAGTCTAATTCTACTTCAAAGTGGCCAACAGTGGCAGACGGAGAGGAACAATAAAATTATTTACTTACGTGTTTAAGGATTTGAATTCTAGTTGAATATAGGGGATAGGTGATGTAGATTGCATTAGAGATGAGAACAGAAGAAGAAATGGATGCGAAAAGAGAGAGAATTTGAGAAGGAAGTAAAATATTTAATACCATTCGTTAATAATAATAAAAAATATCTCACAACAAATATGTATCCCCTATATATATATAAATAAGGAGATCACAAAAAATAAATAAATAATCAAAATGATAACCAAGTCCCTAAAAATAAAATAACAAATAACTCCTAATCCCTACGTCTGTGCATACTATAACGAAATATAATTCGATTCCTATTATTTTTCACCGACTGAAAAGAATTCGTCTCCAAAGAGATATGATCATAATAATGCTCTAGAAGATCAGGGTCAAGCCGACGAAACTCTTTCTCACTAATCCATAAAGCATTAGTCTGTGGACGATCTATTCACCAAACAAGATAATGATGATATCCTCCATCAGAGGAGCCCAAAATCTGATCATCAAGTACATCTGTAATCTGATTATGTAACTGTAGTGAAAACGGTGGAAGAACAAGAACTGTAGGTGATGCTGATGACAAAGTAACTCCACCCTGTAGGAATACTTGCTGGCAACATGAGAGGCTCAAAAGTACCATGATAAGGAAACAAGTGCTCTACATTGAAAATATGACTAATACTCATATTCGAAGGTAGTCAAGGTGATATGTATTAGGTCCAAGCTTACGAAGAATATGAGAATAGATAGTGGACTTTTTGAAAGAATTTTTAGGGTAACGTTCAGGACGTACACGAACCATGACAAAGTCTCCCACAATAAATCCTTTATTCCTACGATGAATAGTGAATAGTGCACGATGAACAATGTTTTTTTTTTTTTTGGTACGAATCAAAATTGAGCTTTGATATCAAATTGATGTAAATCATATTAATTCTGATACCAAATTGATGTAAATTGTATTAGAGAAGAATTAAAGATGAGAAAAGAAAAAGAAGGGGATGAAAAAAAGATAGAATTTGAGAAGGAAGCAAAACATTCAATACCAATTGTTAATAATAATAAAAAATATCCCACAATAAATATGTATCCCCAATATATATAAGGAGATCACAAACTCTAAAATAAATAAATAATTAAAATGGCAACTAAGTCCCTGAAAAATAAAATGACAAATAAGTCATAATCCCTACATCTGCGCCTACTATAACGAAATATAATCCGATTCCTATCAATAGGTTTCCCTATTTGAAATTCGAGAGTTCTAGTCTCAATGTGCAGCTAGTGGAGCAATGGCCACTTCCTGCTACTTGCTTGATTTAAGTTTCTATTTTCGCATCTACAAGGTGTCAAGCTAGATGAATAGCTTCTTAAATCATCTGCTCTTTGTCATATATGTGCTCGTTTGGTATAGCAGCATAGTTACATATCCACTTTGCTAGGGTTATTTGGTTAGTTAATTGCACAACACATTTGACAATATCAATGAAGTTATATATTCCATTTTTGGGCAAAAAGTGTTAGAAATAATCATGTATAATTTTTTGTGTTTTAAGGACTTGTTTAGCTATAAATAGAACTTTTTTATTTGGCAAAATCGGTGCTAATTAGACAGAAAAAGGAGGGATTACACTTTTTTGGAAAATTGATATCAATGTATCTTTTAGTATGGATTATTAGTCAATTTTACAAAAAAAAAAAAAAATTCCTTTAGCCCCTTCTCCCTCTTCTACTTTTGTTCTGGTCCTTTATATGATGTGCTCTGAAACAAATCTAAATCGTTGTATGAAATTTTCTACTGGATATAGTGTGTCTTGAGCAATGCCCCCATTATGTCGGTAATAGTGTTAGTTGTGATTCAAGGATATCGATAAGAGTGTTCTAGTAGTAATATTCTTTTTGTACTCCTTTTCAAAAAGGTCTAATGATTTTGAAGACTATTCAATTTGTGGCTTGATTGTTATGATGGTATATTAATTTCTTATTGTTGCATTATCTACAAAAACAATAATTAGGTGTAAAATTGGGGTGTTTTCATATTACAGTTTTGGTGAAAATTGTTTTAGAAATTCATTTTCATCTGTTTTTTTTTGTCATCTTATTATTTGGGGGAGGCCGATGCACACTGCTTAGCCTGCATTTTGAAATACAATTGTACTTCCAAAATGGATCAATTTTAACATTCAAAAATGATTCCCACGTATCGTAACATCTCGACACAAGCTTTAAATTATTACCATGACTTTGTAATTATGTTTTCTGTGCCTAGACAAATGGGTGTTATGCACAATGGTTTCCCCCCTCCCCTCTCCATCTTTTTATTTATTTGTTTTAAGTGGTATAAATTCCAATTTTGTTTAAACATTATATTTTTTTCACATTTCAAAGCAAATCAAATTTGGTACTTATTTATTTTTTATGGGGTACTTGCACCGACACTTTGCACCCGCGACAAGGTACATTGGACTGACGGGCATTTGAGAGGAAATGGAATTTGCTTATGAGGATGCTGTTTTGTACAAGCACAGACAAAAACGTTTCATGCAGGTGGGGGAATATATGCTTATTAGTTTGACTCACATGGCATGGAGGATACAGGCTTAATAATTTTACTGAGTGACAGGAGGGTTTTTCTGAATGCTAAGTACCGTCTACTCTTTCTTCCAATCCTTAGTTTTACAATGAAGAACTTGTTTTTTTTGTCCAGATTATGGTTGGTGGTTCTGGAGTGTCTGCAATTGCAAATTCATTTGATTTTAGTTTAAGCAAACAATGGAAGCAAAACAAAGAAGAAATTAAGAACAAAGGAGAGAAAGAAAAGGTGTACACAGCTCAAAAAGAGGGAGGGAGAGAGAGAGAGAGAATCATGAGGATTCTATCACTCATAATCTCGTATTAATACCATAATTGTACAGACTCATATATCAAGTAGAAAACTAGCACACCTCCTAACAGAAGTATGATCACTGAACTACTCAATTAAGGCACAAATTGGTTCTAATAATTTATGACGCTTCAGATGTTCCTTTTAAGGTTTTGATTATCTTATCCTTGAATCATCAATTGATATGGTGGTTTGACATCATTGGCTAGAGTAAGACCTTGAGAGTAGTCCTGAGACTAGCATTTACAACCACACTGTTCCAACTTTTTGATTTTGGTGGTGGATCTCTCTTTTGCGAGTTTGTGCAGAGTCATCCCTTTGATGGTTCATTGGAATCATCAATCCCTCTTTTCTTGAGGTTTGCTCATTAAATTAAATTTGCATGCACTATGCCTTTATATACATGTTTAGTTGTAATGGTAGAAATGTAATTGGTGATTTGTTTTGGTTTACTATCAATATATTGGAACTAGATACTTCTCTAACTTTTGGATGTATTTCCTACACAGGTATAAGATTGATTTTGTGAACTTTTTGGTAGACCATAATAGAATAGGTAGATCGGCTTTTGGACTCCCATCATCGGTCTTTCTTTTTCTCTTTCTTTCTTTCTTTTTTTCTTTTGTGCGTGCTTGGGCGTGTAAGGTTCTCTTTCTTGTGAACTCAAATGATGAACGATCTTGTGCACTGATTTATACATCAATTTAACTCATCCATAGCTAATATAAATGTTTCCATTTTGGAAACTAAAGTTTGGATATCTGTGTCATTATAGGCCTCACAGGTAAAGAAGAAAAGGTTCGAGGCTTTTGCATGCATTGCTGTTAGCTATTCATTTCCAAGTGTAGTAGCGGAAGTTGCGAAACAAAATGTCAAAGAATACATTTGGCAGATCGACTTTCTGTGCATGGTAAATTTTTTTTTTTTTGTCCGAAAAGTATGAATGGTAAATTTTTTCCTCATGAGTTATTACCATTTATTCTTGATTTGTATTTTTCTTCTATACTTGTGCTTTTTGAACTTCAAAGATAGGACATTTTATTTGTGGTGTTGTATGGTTCTTTGTAGCTTACATTTTTCTCTGGATTGATTCTTCGAATGCAGTATGAATCAGGAACTGCAAATGATTGAGTAATGTTATTGTTGCTCAGCTCAGCATTGAAGGATTTTGCAGGTGCATCGAATTTCCTTTGCTATTTTTTTATGCAATTGTCGAATGTCCATTTATGTATCATGCCCTTTGAGTTTGAGAAAAGTACATGAATTTTCTGAAAATTATGTTTGAATGATGATCACATGTGAAAATTGTAATTAAAAAAATGCAATTATAGAATTTCAAGATGACACTCTTTTTTTTAAAAAAAACCCAATTGAAACTTTCACTTCTGCCATGATTTTGAATTGTGTTTCATCCAATCTTTTTGGTACTTTGGGGTGTAACGACATGCCTCGTAAATTTTTTTTTGGGTAAAAATTAAGATTTTCATTTTTTTTTGGTGTTTGTGTTTCATGGTCACAGGTTGAGCAGTTTTACTGAAGAAGCAATTTGAATTCATTGGACAGTTGATCCCTACTGTGGGAAGGAATGCGTCCAATAAATCCAGTGTACGAAAACTATCCCTCCCCACAGAAGCAAATTGAGAGTGAATTGCAGGTTCTATTGTGTCGAGAAGGTATTAGCCACCGGTGACCATACTTTTATAAAAGCACCATTGGCCGGTGCTTCCTCTTGAGCCTCTAATCTCGCCATCAACTCGACTAAGTGTTTCAAGTCAAAAAAGTGAACTGCACTTAGATTAAGAGGACGGAACTTGTCTGCTTAAAAAAACCGGTTTCTTAAGGCTTCAAACTTCTTGTCATCAAGACTACTTTGAAAGAATAGCAAAGAAGCCCTCTTCTTGACTGAATCCAGGTAAAAAATCATTGTGTTGAGATGTTAGCACTTTGCTGCTAGATATATGATTTAGTGTTCAATGTTCAAATACAAGGTATGGACTTGTATCTGGCAATGTTAAAGTGTTGATACAATAGTATGAAACACCTTCTTTCAGGATAGGACTAATGCCAATGATGACAGAGACGACAATGAGAGCAATTGCTTATAATGTGAGCAATGGAAAAATTGAGATATTGGTGGGGATTACTTTAGGAGGGATAAGAGACCTTCGTCTTATGATATGGTTCAAGATGATGAGAAATGGAGGATCCGGATCTCTTCAGTTTAACACTTGGGTCAGTTTCAATCATCCATTGTTACATTCATCGTGTCTCACTAATGGGTTCAAATAGGGCCGGTAATATTTGTTGCCACACCATATTAAGGGAAACTCAATTGAATAACACTCAACGAATGAACATGACCGAAATCAACAAATATTGAAATTGCTAGGTTCCAAATTGAAGGAAAATTGTTTTTGACAGGTGAACTTCATGTTGCAATACCAACTAAGGCGAAACCCTATCTACCAATTCAAGGGTTGTGTTATTTCTTTCTTGTTGTATTAATGACTTATCTCAGTATTAGGGGTGTCAAAGTTGCTTTTGGCAACATTTTTTTTGAAGTAATTTTTTATGAGCAAAGAAAATCAATTTCATCGTAAAACCAAAAATAATTTTGATAATCATAGAGTAAAATTGATCTATATGTAATCAAATTTATCATATAGGTTAAACTTGAAAAAATGAAGCACAGATAAGAAAAAATTGGCAAAGTTGGATATACACTTAAAACAAAAGTTAAAGAAAGTTATCAATAAATTGTTAATCAAATGGAATTAAAGAAAAAATGTATTGAAAGATATCTAGATTTGAAGGAAAATGTACAAAGGAGGGTTCTAAGAGCAACTCCAAAAGGAGTTGTCATTTTTGGGTGTCAAATCACTCATTTGTAACTTTGAACAGTGTTTGGGCATCCTTGAATTATAAATCTGCTATAATGACAGGTGTCAAAAATGGGGTGCTATTTTCATATTTTTATTCATCAATCTATATGAATCTTTAGATCTATATTTATATAACAGATTTATATTCATCGACTCATTTGTAACCTCTCTTTCTCTCTCCAAATTTGTCAAAAATTTCACTCCAAGAGCCTTAATGCTTTTTTTTCAACCCTTGATGTCACCCCCTTGGAGTAAAAATTTTTGAATTTAGGGTGGCATATGGGAGTTGCCACCCTTGATGCAACTCCCCCTTGAAGTTGCTTTAATGTATGGACATCAATGTAGTGCCTTAACATAATTATAATTCTCAATTTTGCACCCAAAAAAGGAAGAGGATACAAGGTTATGATTTGAATTCTTTCATATACTCTCTCTTAGTTTTTAATTGTTTTGAATTCAAGTGAGTTTGAATATAGAAAGATAATTTCTATCAACAAATGGTAGTTTACAGTTTTCAGCTAAACCCCATGCATTTTGAACTTATTTCCTAATTCCGTGCACCTGTGAACATAATTTTTCAAATGCACGCGCTTTTTGAAAACTAGTGTTTTAAAACTTACCCGGTAAAATGAGAAAATTAGTGATTTAAAATTGCAAAAGCGTGATTTTCATATGCGATTTTATCTTGTCGAGTTAAAGACGTGTTTCAAAATCAAGTTTTTTTTTCCTTTTTTTTTTCAGCGAATTCATCTTTTGTAACACCCCGCATTTTCTTTTATATATGTATATAGATATATAGTAAATAATTGTTGTAAAAATGGGGATATGTGTAGTGATGTGTGTTTGAATTTGGTAGAATGAAAAAGGGATGAACAGTGCACTGGCTGTAACATCAAGCTCGATTTCGACCTTGATGCAGTCCATATCTCTCAAAACTTAAAACATGAAATTTTAGAGCTCTCTCTTAGGATTCCATATCACCTTGAATCATCTCAATCGGAACTAGGAGGAAGGAGTTATGTCCATATTACGAAGTAGTGTCTACACTGTCCAAAAATCTGTCCGGCAGACTACCTTTCGCTAATTTCATCATAACTCTTTATTGGAAAGTCCGAATTGTGCACCGTTATTTTTGTTAGAACCCTAACTCGTATATCTTTCCAACCATATAGGTTACACCTCCTAGAAATACCTGAGTCAAATCAGTTTATTCTATGAAGTTGATCAAAAATCTGCACTATGGTGCTCCTTGGATAGTAAAGGGTTGTGCTTTCTTATTAGACCTTGAAGGTGTAAAACCCCATATGTTTACATTAATATATTAATGTACTTGTTTAGTGATTCTTCTATATGTAATGACTTAAGAATAAACCATATATATATTAAAATCGTAAGGATATCACCTATAGTAGTTCGAAGGAATAAAATAGAAATTTTAATGTTCCAAGTGTGAATTTATTTTAGTTTTGAAATAAATCATAAAAAGCAATGTTTTTAGGTTAAAATAACATTAAAAATGAATCCGGAACGTCGAAAAACCTTAGGGTAGTCGTATGGATCAAATTGTAGATTTTTAGTGGCAAAACTGTAATTTTGAAAAAAAACTCAAAATTCAGCCATAAACAGTGATTTGTCGCGGACTGCTGTATTTAAAACACAGAATCTAGCCAATTTCTTCCATTTTTTCTCACATCTCTCACCCCCAAACCCCTTAGCACCCTTGGGGAAGATAGAGGAAAGGAGGAAAGGGATAAATGAGGTCATTAGAGCTTGGGTTTTTGGTTTGAAACTTTGATTCAAGGTAGAAAATTTCTTCTCTTTCTCTTACATTGAGACTAGGGCTATGTATACATATAGGTTTTTTTTTTTTTGATCTAAATCTTAGATGTATGTTAGGAAACCTTTGATTCTTGATGTCTATGCAAATATTATCATGTTCTAAACAATGTTATGGTTGGGTAACTACTTTCTCTTGTTTTTGCTCTCAACCCTAACTTTTGAGAAATATGAATTTTTCTCTCTATAGTCACTCAATCTTGGTTTTGAAAACTTTAGTGGTTTGTGTTGAGTAATAAATGATGTTGTGGTGATATTTTGTATTTTCCTAATTGTTTATTGAAATTGCCTCATAATGGATTTGTGGATCTTTGGAAATTTGCTTGTAAATTGGAGATTTATGGAATCATTAGTTATGTGTGACGATTGTTGGGATGATGTGATCTTGTATGGTTGTTGGAATGAACATGGATGAGAGGTTCCTTGTAAGGATGTTCATTCCATCTCAAGAGGTTCCTTATAAGGATGCTTGAGAAACCAAATCTTGAGGGTGAGAGGTTCCTTGTAAGGATGGTCACACCAAAAGAGGACAGTATGTGATTTTCTCAAGAGGTTCCTTGTAAGGATGCTTGAGAAACCAAATCTTGAGGGTGAGAGGTTCCTTGTAAGGATGCTCCCGTTAGAGAGGACAATATGATATCATGTGTGAGAAATGATTTATATTTTGGCAATGGATGTTTATTAGCACTTGGTTGAAATTGCTCATTTCTATTACTATTGTTACTTAAACTTGAGATTCGTTGAAAAATGCACCCGTTTCATTTCAAATTATGTATCTATGCTATGTTGAAAAATGAGACCGACCCTTTTATATATTTTTATAAACCTTGTATGAGTTGAGAGGATTTTGCTACAGAGCTTCGTGCTCACCCCCTACAAATAACATTTTCAGATTTCACACTTGAGGAGGAGTTAGGAGCCGAGGAGCCCGCCCATTGGGAGACTCCGCTTGAAGGGAATGTGGATCCCGAGGTGGACGCTTAGAGCGACACTTTTATTTTGTTCTAGACTAGATTATACTTAGAATATCCTTTTGAAGTCTAGTTCTTTTTTTTTTTGTTATTTTCGCTGCGTTATATTATTACATTGTGGAGATGTAAAGGCCAAGATTGGACCTATTCTTTTGGGATGATAGTGTGGATATGACATATGATGAATGAAAGTTTATTTTATGATGGATAAATAGACCCGGTGTGGTCAATAGTTATGCATATGTGGACCCGGTGTGGTCAATTGTAATATAATTGTACAGGTTGTGTTTTGGGTAAAGCTCCCCGTACAAAGGAGACTCTGCCCAAATTTTGTTAAAATATGAATGGTTGATGAATGAACTTTCGTCGTGATGAATTTACGTAATGCTCTCATGGGGTGAATGGTTTTTAGAATGTAATGTCACCCAAGGGGGTTTTTGGG